ACCACCTCTAGAAGTGGCTTGAGATCGAGGCGCTTTCAATGTGATTCGGAGCGTTCAGATGGAGCCACTTGAAACCGGCTTCGGGGTAAACCACATGTAAAGCGCCTTGGGTGACTTCACATAAACACGGCCTTATACGTACCAAGTTTCAGGTCAGTTGGCAACAACAAAAAAAAAAGAAATCGAATCAATTTGATTATGGGTTCACCACACCACGAAGTGGTGGTGAACCCATATTGCTTTTTCTGATGTTTCTTCTTCTCCTTCTCCTTCTCCTCCTTCTTCTCCTGCCATTTTTTAAATGGATTCAGCTTCTTCATTTTAGGGCCTAAGGTCCTGAAATTTGGTATGGAGGTACAGTGGGCAAATACCCCTAGGCGTTTTTTTAAATTTTTGTGATACAGGCTTTTAGAATGGTTTTATTTGAGTTTTTTGGCTGTGTTATAGCAAATGTATTACTGTGTTAGTGTGCCGTGTTTACCATGAGTCATCACAATGGAATGCAGGGCATCAACCAATAGGCATGCAGCTTTCCTCTATACTTCTTGCTGATTGGCTGTTGGGATTTAACTTGATTAACACCTGCACAGAGCATTTCCACCTGCACAGAGCATTTCTTGCTGATTGGCTGTTGGGATTTAACTTGATTAACACCTGCACAGAGCATTTCCATACTGACAGTATGTCTTTATTCAAGTGTTTTGGTAGGTATTTCAAGCTTTTCTGCTCCAGCATTGGAATGCGGGGCATGAACGTTTTTTTATTTATTTTGAAAATCAACAGTTTGCATTATGCAATTAAAATTCCTAACCAATAAAGTAGGGAATAGCTATCCAACTGTTGTTTTAGTTGTATGTTACTTCATATTATAGTTATATCAATGTAAATCATTGTTTTCCCTTGTGTTTCTCATTCTTTCCCTGCCATGTCGTAAAACGTGGTGAACCCATCGCTGTATTTGCTCCAAAGCAAATATTGGCCTTTCTAGTTTTATTTGATTTTATTAGTTTGCACATTACTGTTACGGCTTAAATCGGTCATATTTATTGAACTTACTTTAAACAAAGCGTTAAACAAAGCAAAAACTTCACAAAAAGCATTCCAGTTAGTTGATTTGTATTGATTATTAACGTTTCTTTATTTATATAATTAATCCCTTGCGCTGCAGGAACCTCAGGAAACAGCGCCTGTAGCAAGACTATAGAGTCGCAACTGAAACTCCCTCTATCAGCTAAAGGCAGAACTACACCGGGTGACTCAGAGGAGTTCGGGTCAGCTTGTCCGAAGTGTTATGTTAGATACCAATTCCTGAGAGGCTAACACAGACCTCGAAGAACTTTTTGTCCCTTTGTAAAATGATCGAAGATTCGTTACGTTGACGCGCAGGTTGAATGGGAGTGCTCGTCGAAACAAAAAAGCAATTATATGCAATGTCAGCAGTAAATCGAATAGTGCATATGTAATAAGACTTGTAAGATGCTTTATATTTTGTCCTTCTGCCCTAAAGACGTTTCAGACCGTGTGCCCAATTATGAATAAATCACCCTTGTTTTTGGGTTCAAACATTATAATTTTCTAGGTTCTATGTTTAATTACACTTCATTTTTAACATTAATAACATCTTATATAATTATATATAATTTATATCATTAAATATTCATAATTTGTGTTAATTTGATGACGTCATAGGTCAAAATCCAAGATGGCGGACCATATAATTAGATCTTGTGTAACCATGGTTTTTTCACTAATTTTTCGTCTAAAATCCGTATTTTTTCACATAAAACGTTCATATGAGCATCTTTAGTCCGTGTGTGTTGTGTTTTGAGGCTCTATCTTGTAAAAAATGCAATTTTGAAAATTCAAGATTTCCGATCCAAGATGGCCGACAGCTTATGCATGACGTCATTTTATGACGTCATTTTGACGTCAGTGTTGTTTCCAGTGGCAACATGTCTTACCAGACATTAATATTTATCATAGGCACTTTCTGTGAAAGTTTGGTTGTATTCCTCTGAGATTTAAGGAAAAAAACATTTTCGACGGTTTTACGCCAAAAAATCACATAAATGACGTCATAATAACGTCAAAATTACACAAAAATTGCTGTTATGAATGAATTTTAATACTACACCATTCTCTGAAAATTTGGTGGCCCTACTTTAAGTGGTTGTTGAGTTACAAGGGCGGGCCTCAAAAGCCCCCCCCCTCCGGTCTGAGCATGCCTCAAAAAACCGGTCTGAATAGGGTTTAAGCCTAGGTCAGCCTTTTATATCTTGATACTGTACTGATAGGAGGGCGCAAGGCAGGTAAGATAAAATCTTAAAAGTTGCTATGTGCTTAGGACACTTTGGTGTTTTAATTAAATTTTCTAAACATAAATTGCAACTACATTTTACACATATATAGAAGAAAATTTGTATTAAAGATACTGAAAATCGATTCTGTTATGTCAGATTTATCTTGTACAAGAAAACAGCCATGAAGAATATTCCCAACCTTGTGTGTTTGTAGCACAGAAGCCACAGAGCAATAAGGTGCACAAAGTACGCACTTCCCCAGTCTAGTTTTAAGTCAGACAGAGAGACTTCAGTTTCGCAGTGTTCTCGCCATTAATCTATCCTATACTTCCAACTTCAACTCAACTGTAACAAGGGCAGCCCTTTATCCACTATGTAAGTTAATTTTATTAATTTGACCATCGTACTTTGCAGATTTTCTGTCCTAAGCGTGCTGCGCATTCTGTTCACAATGGACAGTAAGTTCAACCAGGGTAAGCTTTAGTTTTACAGGATCCTTCTTTGTGCTCACATAATCCTTCCCAAACCCTTCGTTACCAATGCTTAAAATATATTTTTTCAGTCCTTGAGCGTATTATAACATAAGATCAAATCAGTTGTTCGTGTGTACACTACAGCGATTCACTTAACTGAACTAGTGCCAGTGCGTACACAGGACAGATGCTGATTTCAAACTCTCCTTTGTCAGGCTGTATGATGTTTGGCTACTGCTATAATTTCCGCCTCTTTAAGAGATAGTACAGTGTTTTCTGTGATTGGAGTTACATGTAAACTGTCACAACTACGTATCTCGGTGTGTCATTTGCAACACTCTTTCCAAAGGTTTCATAACTTAAAATTAACTTTTAAATAGGAAAGTACGAAAGTCACATCAGTTACCACTATGGAATTACATCTCTTTCCATTAATCATGCAAATTATGCAGATTTCTTATTTACATAATTAATAGATGATTATGTTCCTCTCTTTCTCAATTGAATATGTCACTTCAAACACTTTTAAGACTTGCCAGACTTGATATGATATTATTATTTATGATATTTTATGATATTTGGCTAATGCTATTATTTTTGCCTTGTGAATAGCCCAGTGTTTTTGTTATTGGAATCAATTGTCACTAAGCAGTTATTGTAAAATTAAAAAAAAAAATTAGCCTTTACGTACATGTAATCATCGTCACAATAACGTACCCTGGTCCGCCATTTGCACCACTCTGTCCAAAGGTTTCCGTGCCTGAGTTGAATGAACCTCCTCCCCCTGCACATTGAACAAAACCTTTTCCCCCACCTCTTGCCCCACCTGAATAGCCTCCTCCTCCTCCCCATCCCACGCCACCGATCATACCGTATCCTCCCCCTCCGCCACCAAAACCTCCATATCCGCCACAGGGCCCCCACCCACCTTTACCTCCATTTACAAACGCCGTTCCACTATTCGATCCACTCATAATACCATCAAAGGTTTTGAAGGTATGAAAATCACCCGCCCCGTCTGTCAGCAGACCTCCCCGCCCCCTCCGTCATAAGCTGGCCAGCTCTGTACTGGGACCCCCCTGCCGCTAGGGTTGCGGCCTGTTGTTTCCTTAGTGCCGTCACTAAAACAGCATTCAGGATGAACCATTTCTGACCCACTGCCCCCGCCGCCTGCGATGATGAGGGGAGTGTTGTCGTCCCGGGTGACAAACGTCCCTCCACCCCCACCTGCACCTCTGAAGAAGTAACATGCATGTTCTTCCATCCAGCCACCCTCCTGTCCGACAAGGATCTTCAGCACATCACCTGGGGAAAAAGACATGCAGATATAAAGTGAAAACTTAAAACTTCGTTTAAAAATAATATGTAACTACCTTTGCCTGCCAAGATGATTGTTTTCGTAAGCGTTCGTGTGTGTATCTTTGTGTCTTTGTGTGTGCGTGTGTGCTTGTGCGTGTGACTGTCAACACGAAAACTCGAGAATGCTTAGATGAATTTTGTCTTGATGATTGGAATGTTGGAAGATCATTAATAAAACCTTACATGATATCAATAATAACCCAATTGTTATGCTTAAGCTTCTGTTGATAATTGCTGACGTCATTTGCGCAAGGTATGATTCGAACATAAATGACATTCCTATTGTAAGATCAGTAGCAGAAACAACAAGACCGCCATCGTAAAAAGACATTGCCATGGCGACGACGGTCTCTAGCTATGTCTAAGATTTTCACTACCCATAACCTATGAAAGCTTTTCTGCCGTTTCCTCCCAGATTATGCTAGAAAGCCTTTCTTTCATTCCACGTAAATTATGCAACTTATGTGATTTTAATAATTTGTGTTAATTGAGGTTCACCTTTGTTACCAATATGGAATCATATCATCTTCTGATTAGTCATGCAAATCAGGACTTAATTTCATCATCATCATCGGCAACGGCTAGTCTCCGAGGAGTGGCCCTCAGTCCTTGGGATGTCGATGTCGTAGGTGGCTACTTAGACCAAGCCTGGTGTGGAAGAGTCTAGAACATTTTGTACAGGGGAGGTAGGAGGTGGGCGCGGACGGAGAAGACGCTCCTTGCGTTCCTGTCTTTTGGCCTCAGCTTCAGCCCGGCGTTGATCCTCCATGTAAGCCGTCCCCTGCATCACAGTTCGTCGCCACTTGGTCCTGTCTTCTGCCAGGTGCTCCCAGTTGTCCTCGTCTATTCCGCAACGAAGGAGTGTGTCCTTTAGCTGGTCACGGAAACGGCGCCGAGGGACGCCTCAAGGTCTTGTGCCAGATGCAAGTTGGGAAAACAAGATCTGGCGGGGGAGTCTGGTTTCGAGCATTCTACTGACGTGTCCTGCCCAGCGAAGGCGGTGTCCTGCCACACCGTGGTCTCGATGCTGGGGAGATTAGCTCGGAGGACTTAATGTACATTAATAAATATCTGACGTTGTTTCAGACATTTGCTCGGGAGCAAATGCAGCAAATAGCTTCACCACTCCCCCCGTACCAAAAATGGTAAAAGAGTGGACTCTTCCAGGAAACAAGATGACTTTTCCCTACAAAATTGAATTTAAAAAGAATTGCCCCACTCATGCATGAATGGAGTCTTCCAGTGACCTCTATGTTACGTTACAACTCTTCCAAAGAGCTCTACGTTATGGTATAGATCAGTCTAATATTACTTGCGCACACAATATGTACTTTTTATAAATAGCACATTTTCCAATATTCAATTTTTTTCTTTAAGAATAGGCTGTCCAGAGACCCAATGGTACGTTATCGAAAACATTTCCATACAAAACATGGACTTTGTCATAATAACGTCATTTCAAATTTGAATTAAAAAAGGGTCCCCCCAATTTAAAAATGGAATCTTACATTAGTATGTTGTCATGTTCGCAAAATTTTCAACAGATAGTATTGGAAAAATAGCAAAGAAAAAAGTTAAAATTTTACTCTTTTGACAGTCCTTATTAATAAGTATTGAATGAAAATGTCAGTAAAGTCAAAATTGACTTTACTGACAAAGCAATGATAATTAACTATTAAATAAAAAGGATCGAACGAGAAAGTATGCCTATCTATAGACAATAAATATAGAATGCGATCCGACTCGCGGGAAGGCCGGGACCGAGGGCGATGCGGACTACACCGTGTTGTATTTTATTTATATCATACCCACCCAAGAAAACACGCCTTTCAATGCAAGATGAGCCAAAAGTTGGTGCCACTGAACCCTAAAATGCAACAACATCAATTCCAAAGTCCGGATTCTGTATTCGAATTTTCGAAAGGGGCACACGCGGTTAGGGTCCTGTCACACTTCTGCGAATCGTCTTGCGCATGAGTTGCGTACTGACAATTTTTTTATACGCAGCCGTACGCAAACTGCGCACTTCATATGCATCTCAGTTGTTTTGTATAAGTTTTGTGAACGCCGGCATACGCCCAGCACACGCACCGCCCGGCTCAGTACGCAGCGTAGTTTTGAGCATGCCCAAAACTACGCTGCGTAAGCTGTTACGCAGGTCATGCGTTTTTCATACGCAATGCATCGGTCAAGCACGGTATGAGTACGCTATGTTATCGTAGGGGACATGCGGCTTATACGCTGATCTGCACCTGGAACTGCACCTGTGCATAAGCTGCGTACAATGGACGAATGCATTGCGTACTTGTAGCGCTTTAGTACCGTTCGTATTGCGACAGAACAGCGCATTGTACGTATTTGTAACTAAGAAGAAGCGCAAGTTTGCGTACAGATCTAGATAGCGAACTTGCCGAACGTCTGGGCTACACCCGAGGTACCGGCTCCTCTATACCCCATGGTTAACAGACCTCCTGGATCATTTTAAGTAAGATGTGACAAAGAATGAATGAGTTGATTAATATTTTAAGATTGGCCCTTTCCAATATGTTTTGCTGAAAAGTAGATGATTATTGGGAAAATGTCTTTCCTTGAGTGCAATACTGTATGTTTTACAGAATGCATGTTAATACTTCTTAACAGAAAAGAACACCCTTGTACCGCCTCCCCCAAAAATGATGATAGGACTGGCCATTTTTGCATATTATCAATAATATATCTATATTTAACATAAAATTTTTGCTTTTTGTTACCTGTACTTTGGGACAATGCACTAGTTGACTGTTTTTTTTTTTCTTATCCGACAAAATGTGTAGTGTACGTAGATTATAAAAGTAGTTTATAAAAATATAGGAACATAAAAGTTATGGGAGAATATAAAGTCAATGTCCTGAAACATCTAAAGATGATGGGCTTACATGTATAACAGTAGCGCCGCTTTGAATTGTGCTTGTAGTGTAATGTCTGTAGATATAAAGATTGTAGTGTTCGCAGAGATGTGTAGTGTCCATGCTATCTGTGTGTATGCGCAATTGTAAATTGTCTGTATTGCAAGTATGGGTGTCTTCATTGTTTTCAAATTATTAAGGGAGGGTATTTCTTGATATCTCAAATTCATCAAGGCTATTAACAGTCTTACTGTTATGTTTGTATAAAGTCCGGGTACGTGTATTTAATTTACCTGTCATGAAATTACAGGAAATTGACCAGGGCTAGGGCGAAATGGAAACAAACACATTTTATCTGAGTTGAGGGCGGCCCATGATGAGAAGGACCCATTGCGAATGAAACAGCAGGAAGCAGCAGGGAATACGCACAGAAGACGCTTGACATTCGTCGGAAGTGCGTTAGGCATCCGGTGGGCATACGTTGAGTGCGTCCGGAATACGCTTGCCCTTCGCAATGCACGCGAACGCCATACGGATGTCATATGCAATCTATGCGCAGAATTCGTTATCTATACGCTACAGTACCCTCGCGTATTGTGCGTGCGGCAGAAATGTCTGTACGCAACTCATACGCAATGGCTATTCGCAGAAGTGTGACAGGGCCCTTAGGGAGAAACGCGTTCGAATCGTTTTATGGAAGCCATGGAAGCGTTCGATAAACGTTCAATGTACCTTTATACCAAATTTCAAGTCATTTCGCCAGAAAATGAAGAAATCGAATCAATTTAACGAAATGACAGATGGAGGAGAAGAAGAGACATGCGAAAAACACCAGACTGCTACGTGGTTTTGGTGAAGCCACAATTATGTCACTTCTTATTGCACACAATCAATCTATGTTTCAAACTTCGCAACCCTATCATTTCCGCTGAAGTAAGTTATGACATTGGGAGCTCAAAATCCAAAACTTTAAAGATCATATCAAGACCTACTTACCTACGAAGTTATTTTTAATGACAAT